AAAGGGTTGTTATGATTGCCAGGCAGCGTTAAAAAGAAAAAAAAAAAAAAAAAAAAAAAAACCTACAAAAAATTCAGTAGTTATTAATTCTGGGAAATAAGGAAATAAATATATTATTCTTTGTATATTTCTATCACTTACATTTCTCAGAATCCCAGCATGAAGAACCATGAGAAATCAATCTGCTATACACAAACGCAGACACAGGAGCACACATGGCAAGGGGAGGTCACATGGTCGTGGCCTTCTCAGCTGTCCTGTTCCACACCAGGCCGTCATCCTCAATGAGTCCACGCATACTGGCATCTACATCCAGAACCACACTGAGGTGAGGCCAGAGAGGTAGTGAGAACTCTCCCTCAGGGTGACAAAAGTCCACGGCCAGCAGCACTTCACCTGCCTCCTCACAACTCCTGCCCAGCCATCTCCAAAGTTCTGGATTCTGTCAATGTCAGGAACCTTCTTTTGTTTTCCCAGAACTGGGATTCAACTCAAAGACTTTGCACTGCGCTACCTTCCCAGCCTTTATTTATTTTTATTTTGAGACAGGGTTAAGTCACAAAGTTGCCCAGGTTGGATTCCAACTTGAACTTGCAATCCTCCTGCTTCAGTCTCCCAGAGTGCTGGGATTACAGCTGTGCATCACCATGCCCGGCTTAAGCATGTCCATTAAGCATGGGTCTTGCTATGTAGGTCAGGTCAGGCTATCCTTGAACTCACTCTGTAGCCCAGGTTGGCTGTGAATTCATGGAAATCCTTCTGCTTCAGCCTCCTGAATGCTAGGATTACAGGTGTGCATCACCCTGCCTGGCTGAGCACTTGCTTTTTTAACAGGACAGAGGGCCGATGATTTAGTTCAATGCCACCGCGCCTGCCTCACCAGTGAAAGGTACTGAATTTGAACCCCAGTACCACAAACACACACACACACACACACACACACACACACACACACAGGCAGGCAAGAAGTAAGATCACTCTTTCAAATGTGTAGACAGCAGAGATCACCAGGCTACACCTCTCCACCCTCACAGGAAGCACACTTATCTACCTATGACAAGGTGCAAGGAGGCAGGCTGTACACACCCACCTGCTCGACACACTCCCTCACCTGGACAGTCGGCTTCGTCACTCTCATCCTCACAAGTCGCCCAGCCGTCACACTGCCAGGAGAGGGGGATGCACTGGATGGCACCACTGCGACAGGCAAACTGCCCAGGGTTACACCGCAGCTCTGTGGAAGCAAAGGCGAGAATTCATTGAGGCAGCAGCAGCAGCAAGAGAGGAGACCTGGAGTGGCAAAGCCCTGCCACCAACAAGCCCACAGAAAAGGCAACGATACATAGCCTGCCCCTTTCAGAAAGCCTAGAAAACATATTCCTAAAGGAGCAACAAAGAACTGTTACAATACTGCAGCAGTGAACAGAGTAACACTTACTTCCAAGACAATAAATTCTGAGTCACTTCAAACACACACTCTGAGTTTGGCTCTTGCCATCACTTCTATGTTGAGTGTCCCCCAAGGCCCAGGTGCTAAAAGCTGCATCCCTGGGATGGCCTTACCTAAAGGTGCTGTGGCTCACTGGAGGCAGGGGCTTGTGGAAGGGCCTCGAGTCACTGGGGCATGCCCTGGAAAGACACTGCTGGCCCCAGCAGCTCCTCTTCCAAGCATACTGGCTCATGATGAGAGCACTCACTGACATGTTCACTATGATGTGCTACCCTCTCCAGAGGCTCAAATCAGTCAAGTAACCTGATCTTGGAGTTGACCCTCCAGAACCATGGGCCAAAATAAATCTCTACGTCTTAAGTAACCCTAAGTCAGATATTTCACGTAGTGAGGTGAAGCTGGCTAACACATGATACAGCTCTGTAGCAGACTACGGAGAAAGAGATGAGAGAGAGGACTCATTGCTCACCACTTAGATTCTGGGTCAACAAAACAGACATATATACATATAAAGACACAGAGGTTTCTGACAGCAAATGGAGGCAGCCACCATGGTGTGGTTCAAACAGCATGCCAAAACAGTGAAAGGAGGGCAATTCTTTCTCAATCTACAGGCTCTGAAATACTTCCTAAAGAAGGTGAAATTTGCCAGCTGTGGTGGCATACACCTATAATCCAAGCATTCAGGAGGCTGAGGCAGGAGGATCACCCCAAGTCTGTGGTCAGCCTGGGCTACAAACTGAGTCCAAGGCTGGCCTGAACTACACAGTGAAAAAAGAAAAGCAAAAGATGAGATTTGAAGAGTTGTTTCAGAAGGACATGTGATGCAACAGGAACAGCACTCCAGGAAAAGCAGGACTCAAGGAAATATGGGGGGAGGGGGGAGCTGGGGATTTAGCTCAATGGTGCCACTGCCTTACAAGTGCAAGGTCCTGAGTTCAATCCCTGGTACCAAAAAGAAAATAGGGAACAGAGGGCATGTTGAGTAGACCATGTAGGGGCTGCCAGATGGGGAATCCCTGCAGCTAAAATCAAAAACACAAAAAGGATCAGGTTGTGGAAACTTTGAGGATAAGGGAATTCTGATCTTATCTGGTAGGTTACAGGGAGCCAGCCCTTACTAAGATAGTAACATGAGATGTGTATTTAAAAAAGGTAAAGCTGGCAAAGGTTTCTGGGGAGCAATTACAATACAGGTGTAAGAGCCTGACTGAACCAGAGCGACTCCGTGTTGACCAGCAAATGGCCTAGAGACTGTCGCTCCCCCCATCCCTTATAAGATAACTAGTGATTAATTGTGAATTGTTAGATAACTGCTTTGAAGTAGCTGGGAGGCTAGGTGGAGACTATAGTGAGCACAGAGACTCAACATGGATTGTGTCACTCTTTGTATGTCTGTAATCTGAATGTTCTGAACATTATAATCTAAGTTGTAAATGGAACAGCGGATGAGCAATCTGCTAATCATTAGTACATGACGGTCAAGTATGTGCCTGATAACCACTAGACCAGAAGGACTGCTTCTTTGCCTTTGTCCTCTTCCCGTAAGTTTTATATGTAACCCCCCTTCAGCCTCTGTTTCTGAGCTGGCCGCCTCTCTGAGCCACTTGGCTTGGGGAGTGCCGTCTGGCCAGACTAATAAAGGTCTATTAGCCACCTTGCCTGGTGTGTTCCTTCCTGGGTGACTCTCGCTATCGGACAAGCTCCTGGAGCCTCGCTGAGCTTCTGAGCCCAGCATCGTGAAGGCCTCTTGGCTGTTCACGCTCCAGGAGTAAAGGTGAGACACAAGTCTTACACAGGGATGAGAGGAAAATATTAAATATTCAGCAAAGCACAGGCTTGAACTGATGTAGGAGTCAGTAAGCTACAGTCCATGGCCTTCCCAGCTTTTTTTTTTGCAGTGCCAGGGATGGAACCCAGGGCCTCACCCATGCTAGGCATGGGCTCAACATGGCCATCCCCAATCCTTAAACAGTTTTTAAATATAGTTTTATGGGGAAAATGTATTGCCTGTGGATGGTTTCAAGCTACAAAAGTAGTGCTGATTGGCCATAAGAGAAATGGCCTGCCCAACTAACAGTTCCTCTCTAGTTCTTTAAGAAACAGTCCAGACTCACCCCGAGGTGCCCAATAAAGAGGTAACCTCAGAACCAATGTGCAGGGTGTGAGGAGTACGCCCTGTACACAGGCAGATGACAAAAGAACTAGAAACCAACTTTAGCATGCTGCTGAGTTTGCTCACTCGACTCTCCTCCTTCCAGAATCATTCCACTTACGTCAGGGGGAAGGGAACTATTTTTGCAGCTGAGTCCTATTTCAACACTACTCTAAGTAATTAAGGCCAATCATTAATTTATCAAGGAAATTTAACTCATTTAAGCAAGCAGGAAGCACAACCTGCAGCTGAACCCTACATCCCAAACACCACGGCCCTAGAAGCAGACTCCCAAGGGCACTGTGAACCTTGCATGGAAGGTGCCCCGTGAGCAGGCTCAGGGAAGGCACAGCCAACGCCAAGCCCTTCTCCTTGCGAGGTCCTGCAATCTGAGACAGGACGGCTTCCCAGTCGGACAGGGAGCAAAGGCCACAGAAGAGCAGTTACTCCGTGCTCCTTCCCTCCACCGCTTCTACTGCTACAGGAAATGAAACCAGCAGAACCTAAGGACAAACTTGACACAACTCGGCGTGAGGTGTCATGGGAGAGCACAGATTTCGCAGGCACAGGCCTAGCTTTAATCCTCTGCACCTCAAAAAGCTTTCTGTATGTATGTACGTAAAACGCTGACTACTCACAATGCTTTCTACTTTTTAAGGCATTTGGCCAAGAAGGCATTATAGGGGCTGGTAAAGCACTTGAGAAGGGGAGGGGAAAAACTTTCAATCGGAATTGACCAGAAATGTACAAATCATAGTACAGACATTAAACATTGTTACAACTATCTATCTATATATCTACAGATATAGATATATAGACATAGATAGTTTTTTTTTTTTTTGGTACCGGTGATTGAACTTGGGTTCTTGCACTTGCGAGGCAGGTGGCGGGACCACTGAGCTAAATCCCTGGCTGTTACAACTATACTGTAAATGCTCAAGAAGCTAAAGGAAAAGACAAACACATTCAGCAGAGATAGGAAGAGAGAAAAAGAAACAAACCTACTACCTAAAAATGAAGACTGCCTGCGAAGAAAACTTCACTGCAGAAGATTTACAGATTTAATTTTGTAAAAGAAAAGATTAGTAACTGAAGATGTAGCAATAGAAACTTTCCAAATTCAAACAAAGTAAAGGGGCTGCAAAGAGCGAGCAGAGCACCAGTAATCTATAGGACAACTTTTCACTCCCTAATGTAATGGGATTACAAAAGGGGACAGAATATTTGAAGGAAAACCTTGCCAATCTGATGAAAAACTATAATAAACCCACAAATCCAAGGAGCTCAATAAGCCCTAAGCTCAGAAATAAAATGACTCCAAGTCATACTGGAATCAAACTGCTTAAAACTAGCAATCACGAGAAAATCTTGCTCCCAGCTACTCGGGAGGCTGAAGTAGGTAGATCACAAGTACAAGGCCAATTTGGGCTTCTCTCAAAGTTTGTAAGAAAAGCTGCTTGTGTAGCTTAGTGGCAAAGCCCTTGTCAGCACACTCAAGGTCCTGGGTTTAACCCACAGCATTGCAAAAAAAATGAGACAAAAAAATCTTAGAAGGCAGGCAGTGAACTTGTCATGTAGAGGTACAAGATCCCAACAATGAATGTAACTGGACCGTATCCCTAAAATGTACCAATAAACTCAATTAAAGCTGAAAAAAAAAAAAAAAGGCAGGCAGTGAGAAAAGATGTATTATTATTTCCAGAAAAAACAAAAAGATGGCAGATTTCTCATGAGAAGCTAGAAAACCACAGCACAAAGGAAAGAAAGAAAGAAAGAAAGAAAGAAAGAAAGAAAGAAAGAAAGAAAGAAGAGAGACAGAGAGAGAGAGAGAAAGAAAGAGAAAGAACGAACCTGGGAAGAGAGAAACAAGCAGGTGGTGGCACCATGGAGCTAAATACCCAGCCCCCACAAGCATACTCTTTTAAGGATCTTACACTATATATATAGACAAACTGGTCTGTCACTTGAAGGCAGACTGTGTTAAAGTTACTTACCTGTTAAATATGTGGAGTGAGGCCAGGGATTTAGCTCAGTGGTTTTGCAGCCTGCCTCACAAGTGCAGGGTCCTGAGTTCAATCCCCGGTACAAAAAAAAAAAAAAAAAAAAAAAAAGAAAAAGAAAAAAAAAACATGTGCTGTGATCTAAACAGCTCATGCACTTAAAAAGTATAATTTGTCCCATACAAGATCTAACTATAGGCAGATGGTCCCTAGCTTAGACTAATTCAACTCAGTTATTTTGTTTTTTTGTACTAGGGATCAAACTTGGGACCTTGTGCTTGCGAAGCAGGCAGCAGCATCACTGAGCTAAATCCACAGCCCATCAACTCAGGTTTTTTGACTTTACAAAGGTACAACAGCAATTCATGTTCAGTAAAACTACATATAAAATTATAAATTATCTTCTCCTGAACGAGACATGTAGTATATAATATAGTCACAGGATAAAAAACAATACTCTACAGTGTATAGTCACAGGATAAAAAACAATACTCTACAGTGTATCATGTTGCAGGTTAGGTGTATTAAATGCATTTTCACCTTATGATATTTTCTGTGTTTTTGTTTTGTTTCTTTTGTCGTTGCTGTTGTTTTGGTTTCTGAGACAGGGTCTCACTATGTAGTCCTGGTTG